TACCAGCACGTGGAGTATGACCGCGCATGGCACGACACTGGAAGATGGGTGGGTTCAATCATTGCTTTGCACACAACAGGAATTTGCTTCCTAAGCGACGTGTATGTTGATTTTATCTCTGACTGCACTGCCATAGAGCTTTGCATGACGGGATTGTATGTAAAAAGTCATGTGAGTATTCAATATTCGTGGAAAACAATGTAATCACATTTTATGTAATTTCAAACGAATGTCTATAATCTAATGTTTTTTTGTGTAATTTTGTTGACATTTAAATTTATGTTTGACTTTTCTGAAGGGGTTTTGTTGCGATATTTGTATCAAAATTCAAACCGTCAATCTATTGGGCACAGAACTCTCATCCGAGCTCTCATGCGGTGGCTTTGTTATTAATTTGCCAGCCTTCATAGGTGCTCGCTAACAGCACTTGCCACAACTGTCTATTTTGGCTATACAGAAGATATTTATCTTCTTCTTTGTCCTGCAGGTGTGTGTAATTTGGATTAAATTTGTGTTTGTTTCGTAAAAAAATTGCTTAGTGATTGATGGAACTTATGGATTTGAGGCAGATTATGAATTCATAATGAAGATGACAACGGCGATAATGATTATAATACCATATTTCTGATGCTGTGCAATATGCTGTTGCATGCTAGTGAGTGCTTGTGCTTTGCATGTGTGAGAAGAGAGAACACAGTTCAAAGAATAACCAATCAATACATGTGTCCTTACACGGAAAGTCCCATATAGCCAGTTACCCAGCTAGTTTGCAAGGAGGATTTGTTGTGCATTTGCACAGAACAAAAAAACAACCACCATTAAATACCTACGCATAATCAGAGTCAGCGGAAACTATTTTCGATTTAAAGCTTTCGTGACTGCAGGGATGCATCTTCTTGGTTCTTTTGGTAAATTCACGTAGAAGGGAAATAATAAAATAATAAAACATAATAAAATAAAAATTCTCACGACGTTTCGGCCACAACACAAGCAGCCATCCTCAGGTGAAGAAAAAGAGCTGTCGGAAAGACAGCGTCACAATCATTGGGACGCTGTCTCCGTGACTTTACCGAAAGAACCAAGAAGATAAACTATTTTATTTGTATTTATCAGTGGCTGTTAATCACACATAAGCTGTTCAGTCGTATGCTGCATTGCTCATTATCTCCGGGAATTTTAAGGATAAGAGGAGTTACCCAGAGGTGTCAGCCAATTATTCCTGTCATGTGTATCTATCCGGGCGTGTCTGTGGATAAGCAGAGTTTGTTTTGTGAATAGATACACAATCAAATCCCCAAATAATGCCCTCAAAATCAATATGGATAATAGGAATTCCACTGTAGTTCGGGTTCAGCTCATGTCCCAATGTGCTTGCCTTATCTGCTTGTTAGAAGGTTCTCGTATTCCAGTGTCTGTTCCTTATGCAGGGATCCTCTCTTTTCTTAAAAAAAAAAAGCCTCAACAAGTTTAAATCGGCAACATAAATATATATGTGCACATGCTTAAATGTAGCACTTAATTTAATTGAAGCTAAGGAGGTGTACATTAGTTATCATCTATATTCGTTGCATTGAAACGTGGGCTATAGTTTGATCATCACTGTTACCATGTTCGTGTGGCTTTTTCCCCGGGTGCTCCGGTCTTTCCTCCACATTTAGAAACACGCGTTTAGAGTATTTGGCTGCTATACATTTCCGCATGATAAGCCACTTCTTTCCGCCATCAATTGTGGCCAGGAACATCTGAAAAAGAGCTATATTGCTCAGTGGTGCCTTACCTGGTAAAATAAAACTAGTTAATAGTATCTGTCTCCTTGTACCTGTTTTCCCTGTACTGTATATTCATACGATTTCTTTCCATTGGCACTTGTTGTCTTCGTAATTAAACAAATAATTTCGTGACGCTGAGTTGGCAGTGGTGCACAAGAACAAATACCAAAAGAATAACACATTCATCAACAGCACAGCCTGAAAAGGAACGTACGTAAATAGGTGACGTTTTGGGTGATCGGCCTTCTTTATAGCACATAATGTGCTATGAAGAATAGCAATCGCGCCCAGATCATGTGTTATGACAAAGGCTCATTTCTCAAACATTGCCTATCATATACTTTTTTTCGATTTAAAGCTTTCGTGACTGCAGGGATTCATCTTCTTGGTTCTTTCGGTAAAGTCACGTAGAAGGGAAGTAATAAAATAAAAAAATAAACATAATAAAATAATTCTCACGACGTTTCAGCCACAACGCAAGCAGCCGTCCTCAGGTGAAGAATGAAACACCACCAAGCTTGGAGCGTATATTTACTTATATATTTTTCCTTTGAAGGTAATGTTATTGAGGAATGTGTTACATTTGTTATTGTCTCATTGGGAATGTTTTACTCATAAACAGATTATGGGTGAATTTAAATGCAGTGTAACCCACTTTTGTTAATAGCAATATGAGTAAACAGATGACTCCGATGTGTATATTGTTAAATAGCTAAAATTAGTCGAGGGATGCAAAGGATGCCTGCAAATATACATTAGCACCCTGGAGTCAGCTCATTAGCTTTACATATTAAAGCCTGTTCCAGTGTACACCACACAGTCACAAACATGCATCATACAGCTTGAAGTCATATGGAAATTACACACAAAAGAATACAGCCACTCCAGTGACAATTACAGTGATAATTGTCGAAATGTGCAGACTCATTGTGCCAAGAGCGGCTCCCTAGCCGACTGCCACCTCTCACGATCCTGGAATGCCACAATCCATTCAGCACCTGCAGATGAACTGATGTCATCGCTCCATCTCTGCGGTGGACGTGCTCGCAGACATATTCTATTCCTTGGCTGCTACTACATTATTATTCTTGGTCATCATTAATCCGCCCTTTTAGTGACATGTCCAGCCCAAACCCACATACTTTTCTTAATCGATCAGATGATGTCATTAACCTACGTTTGTTCTCTAATCCATGTACTCATCGCTTTTCTCTCAGTATAATTCCAAGCATGATTATACCTACTCAGGTTTTATCCACACTTATCAGTTTTTGTTTTATATTTTAGTATTATAGACCATTTTTTGTGAACAATGTGTCATTGCAGGTAGTACGCAGTGAATTAAAACTTTGTTCCACCATTGGAACCTCATTTGCCAGTAGCAACATATTTTGATAATTAAATTATCATATTTTGCTACTGGCAAATGAGGTTCCAATGGTGTAAATGCTTACCCTCGAGCTCTCATACTCTGATGGTGCATTGTCCTTGAGTTGTGCGCCTTTTGGTGTCATCTGGTCCAACACCATGTGAGACTAGGCTCTAAAGAAAGCTGTCTCGAGTGTGGACCAATCAACTTCAAGGACAGTGCATACATTATCAGAGTTATGTTTTTTGTGTGCATTCCGACTGCAGGTATTGTGGTCAATGCAAACATGACTCCTTGTAAAAAAGGTGTCAGTTTTGTTTCCAGATAAAAGGGTAAAAAAACAATTATCATATTATAAAACTTTGTTCTTTAGGAACATTGCTATGGTTAATTTTTATTATCAAGTTCAGCTTTCCAAAAACACTCAAACCCGCTCTTGTCCACCTCTTTGTTTCATATTTCTTGATTTTGGTCGCCTTCGTTTAGGTAAAAACATACTGTGCTGTTTTCCACTTGTCCCTCCGTTCACAAATTTATTGTACATTACCTTTTTTTACTCATATTCTTGGGTCTTTCGGTAAAGTCACGTAGATAGGTTCAAATAAAATAACAAAAAACTACGACGTTTCGATCGCAACACAAGCGGTCGTCTTCAGGAAAAGGGGAGTTAGCTTCCAAGGCAAACTGTTTATAAGGGTTTGAAATGGGCATAGCCCAAATGTCAGCAGCCAATGACAATGTAAGTGGTTGGTAGCCAACCCGACGGTGGTTGCTTTTCCACCAATCAAAGGGCTGCCAGGTTAAAATTAGCATGTTAGTGAGAGATTAGCATGTTGATGGGAGATCGCAGAGCCGCAACCAAGGGGTGAGCGCGTGAAGTGGCTGTGTTGGAGTGAACCCTGTGAAAGTGCAAGTTTGAAATGGGCGTAAAGCACAACTAACATCGGAAGGTGGTAGGATGGGAACATCACAGCCAGTTATGACTTAAACTGGTTGATAAGGTCCTTCCAATGATTGCTCAGTTTATACCCATCTTCTCGGTGGAAATTGTGTCTGTGTCTATATATATGGATGGCTTCATGAACGAATCTTTGTTGAAAATCCCAGCTTTGCAGACTTCTCTATTCGGGTTTTTAACATGTCCTGCAGCACATTCCCATTTTCAATGCACTGCCCTGTTAGTCTGCGAGCTCTTTCATTGCGTAAAGTCCTGTCATCCATGAATCAATTTGTTCCTCTAGGTCTTTGCTTCTGTTGCATAGAGTTAGCCTAAAATCAGATACTTGCCGATCTAGATGCTTGATGTTAACTATCTCAGTTTTCCCTGCAATTACTTTTGGCCTCTATTGGTTGTTCTGAAGTGCAACTGGCAACGCACCAGTTTGTGATCACTTTCTGTATTTTATTTGCCGAGGACAGAGACATCTACGATGATCTGGAGTTTGTCTGCTCGACTCAAGTCAATCTCGTTCCAAAAGTCACCCTATCGGTTCCTCCACGTTTTCCTCCACACCTTTAAAATATACGTTCATAGTTATTGCGATCTGCATGCAATTCCTCCATTAATTTTATGATTCTGTCTATTTCATGCATTGTGGGATTATCTTGAGGGCTACCATTTTTAAATTATCAATAATGTCCTTAATGGTTGGCTTCATGCACATGTTGTATCATTGCAAATTCTATAACCTGTTTGTTATTCTTGGTTCTTTCGGTAAAGTCACGTAGGAAAATAATAATAAAAATAAAACAATAATAAATTGTTCTTGCTGTGGTTTTCACACCTGATGATGATTGCTTGTATTGCAATCGAAACGTCGTGATAATTTTATTGTTTTATTTTTATTATTTTATTGGTTTTTTCTCTTCTACGTGACTTTACTGAAAGAACCAAGAATATGAATCCCTGCAGTCATGAAAGCTTTAGATCGAAATTTAACTTGTTTGTTATGTTCTCTACTGTTCTATTCCAATGTTCTGTGAATTCTGAATGTGTTTTGGCATTTTCATCATATTTCCAAAATCTCATTTTCTTTCATCATCAAGCATTTTGCTCGTTTTCTGTTGCCCTCCGGCATTTGGGGTCCCATAACCTGCCAGCGAGGCTTGAACAGTTCACATGGTGTAAAATAGCACTTAACCTGACAGAAGAACGGTGGTGATGTCACCACAACATTTTCCTGTGTTTGTGTGTCTTGGTCTAAAAAGCTCCAACATCAGCACCCAAGGACCTCACGGTGGTGACCCGTGAAGGAAAGCCACGCACTGTCCTGGTCAATTGGCAACCCCCAGCAGAGTCCAATGGAAAGATTACCGGTAAGTAGAGATCAAACATCTAAACACCTATTTTATAACTATGCAAAATACATTTCAAGCAGCATCGAATCCAATGTTTGTATTTACATAGATGTGGGTCCATATAAGTAACTGCATTTGACTTTCATTCTGTCAATCACAACCTTGATTTGAGTAATTGCTGTCACACAGGCTCCAGTGAGCACCCATTCTGTGTGAAATAGAGACCTATGGTATATGAAATGCAATTGACGTTTGACCTATGACCCTTAACCTTGATTTAAAAAATAATCATATGCTTAGACCTGGAACAATAAGTTGATTAAGTCAATGGACAAACAATTTGCAGCAACCTGCTGCGACCGACGGTCACGTCCCACCTCCACCTCTGATCTCGAATCCTGATGGCCCGTGCTCCCGCTCGCACATCAGTGAGGAAAAATAATAAACTAGCACTCGACGACGCGTCAAACAAATCGTCCACACGCGTACTCGGCATGCATCAGCCCCCATCTGTTTGTATGTTTCCTTCTCCCCTAGACGCATCCGTTATGAGCTCTGGCGGACAGGCTCTGACTCCCATATTAATATGGGGCAACAATCGAGAAGTACGACCGATGTCGCACTTGCTCTCACTGAAAACACCTGAATTTGCAGCAACAACGATTAAATTCGCCCCGTTGTGCCTTAGGCAAACCAGTATTCTCGTTACAAGGGCTTCTGCCCACGTTTCATCTGACCCGGCTCTCTCCTACATCGCTTCCGCGATGTTTGTCGCCACCACCTCGCAACACGCGGGCTCTCTCCTCCATCGCTTCCGCGATATCGATCGCCACTGCCTCGGCTCACTCTGTACATACTTGCACAGTGATGATGAAGATAACGATGATGTTCATGATGATAATGTTGTTGCTTATGCTTGCGTGGTGTTGATGATAACGATTATAAGTTGTGGTGTTTTTGGCGCTGCTAATGTTGTTGCTTCTACTATTGTTTATTCAGGAAAGCCTTTAGAAACTCCAATTAATTAACATTTTGTATGTGTAACGAAACAGTACAACCCTGAGATACCTCGCACATACAGGGCAAAAACACTCAAAGGTCCTTGAGGAAATGTTCATGTACCCGATTGTTGTATTGGCACCTCCTCACCATTTTACAGCCGCGCATGATAGGAAGTTTCACAAATCTGTGTCATCCACTAACCTATTGCTTCCAAAGTGTGGAGGTTTTTAGACTTGAAATGCTGTGCTGTTTAATCTTGCTGAGCATTTTTATTTCCTGTTCAATGTATTTTTATATGTTTCTGACTATAATGATTTAAGTCCAAATATATCATGTTAACACATATCCAAAGGTTAATTTGGCTCCATGTAATGTCAGGTTTTTGATTGCTGGCTTTTGTACTCTCATGTTAGCACTATTCATTAAAGCAATATGATTGCTCTCTGTTTTATTTCTAGCTCTTGAAACGTTCCTGTTTCATTGCTAATATGAATGCTGGTCACATATCCATATATTCTTGTAATATGCCTTCTGCCTCTTGTACAGCAATGCACCTACTGTGTAAAATTATCTGATTCTCATTATATTTCTGTTCACTCTATCCACCTGCTGAGTTTTTCAATTTTCTCCTGCATTGTACGGTATGCCCTCTGGCTCTTTTAATCTCCTGACTTTTGTGTCATATCTGTGTTTAAATAGTTGGTCTAGATGTGTATTCCCACCGGATTTTCCCCCTTTAAGTTTATTTGGGCTTCCTAACCACGCGTGATACACGGCTGTCAAGAATAACATTCCTTGAAACGTTTCTGCAGGATGTTATTATATAATTGATGTATATTCATCCCATAATTGTGTCTTCCTTGTTCAAATGCGTATGGGGTGGTGCTCATCTCAATTCTCAGCCATGACCCAGTGGTGGGAATTCGACATTTATATGATGGCTGCCAATCTTTCAACAGGGCAATCATTCCATAATTTATGCACAGTGGTAATCATTTTATCGATCCCAGGGATACTGGGGGCCTGAATTAACCTCTTCATGGGGTTTGTTAGTTAAATCAACCACTTTGCTCTCGAACTACCGAGCCATATATTAATATGGTACCTATTAATTTTCATAACGCCTGCTCGCTCTTGATAAAGAATTTCACATCAGTTCATCCATCTCTTATATTCTTACTAAGTATTGTGACATTTATGCTGGTTCTGGAATTGGGTCTCTTGCATGCGCACCACAGGATACATGATCTACTATTCAGCGGACGTGAACATGCAGCTGCATGACTGGGTGGTGGAGCCTGTGGTGGGAGACCGCCTATCACACCAGGTGCAGGAGCTTACCCTGGACACCATCTACTACTTCCGCATGCAGTCGCGGAATGCCAAAGGAATGGGGCCTGTGTCAGACCCTGTCCGCTTCCACACACCAAAAGGTGCCACCACACATCATTCTCCACACATTCAGTGACTATCTACATGAACAACAGCTGTGTTCTTAACACCATTAATGATGCTTAACCAGCAACAATGCACAAACTAAATGCATGTTTATATGTAATTTATATAAGTCTGTGTGCTAAAAATCGGCGCTGCATTGGTAGGCTTGTGGACATTGCAAAATATACACACAAATATTCAGAACTTTATCAATTATTTTAACGCATTTAGAAACTGCAGAGAAAAAAACTGTTTGAAGTGCTCCATGGGGAGCCTTCTGAGCCCCGCTCATCTCATCAGCAAGTGCCAAGAAACGCAATTTGTGCAGTAACACTGGAAAGACAAAGGTGTCACCGGTTTTGTTAATTGAGGCCCGGCTGTAGTTCATATTTGACGCATACGCTCTACACAAGGCAATCACAGTAGAAAGGCGCACGATGTCAGCAGATTGAAGAAAACAGTGGGCCAGTGCAATACAAATAGCAAAGTCTAAGAGTTAGCCTCCAGAGGGTTTTTCAGCCAGGATTTATACTTGTGCAAGGATAAATATGTTTTCAGACAGCATATTTGAACAGTTTTAGTGTTAGATGAGGACTATGTAGAGGCATCTGTCATTGAGAGATCCCAGGATGAGGAGTAAGTCCAGTGGATGCTCCTCTCCAATTAATTAGGTCAGCTACCTCAGAGTGAAGTAAAAGTGCTGATTCTGCACTTGGAAGGAGCCAAGAGCAAGTTGAGTAGAGCTGAAACCTCCAAAAATGTGGATGACAACCAACCCAGTGAGGGGAAGGGCAAAGAGGCTGCAAGAATTCCTGCAGAGGCTGGAGCAGCAGAAAAAAATTAACCCGTAAAAACAACGTTTTTCACTATAAATCCTTTATATGTAAGATCACCTCTTGACATGCCCCGTATATTCCCGAGGGCACTAGCGTTGACCCGTTTTACCACTTTCAAGAACCTGGCGGCTTCAATTTAACGGCTCTATAAATAGTCTCCATTGTACAGCATGGGGGCAGGTATTTCATGCCATGTGGTTAGTCAACATTTACGTCATCATGAAACGGGCGGCTAGAGTCCTCTCGTCCTCTGGCTTGAGATGGCTGCCACCTATGGGTCAGATGATTGCCTGGCACCATTAAGCAATTGGTAATTCAATATTTAATTTTTTTCCCTAAACAGTGTAAAATTTTTGAAATTTTTTTACGAAAATTAATTGTCATGCACAACGAGTCTGTGTGCAAAATGTCAGCTCGATTGGATCACAGGGAAGTGGGTTAAAAAACGACCGAAAGGTTTGCACGGTCCTAAGCAAGCAAGCAAGCACGCAAGCAAGCAAACTTAATATAAAGGATTTAAAAAGACAAAAACCAGAGTATCAGAGTCTTCGGATGAGTATTCTGATGCCTTGTAGATATTGTGTTGAAAAAATAATACAAATATTAATGAAATGTTAAAATCTTAATTAACGTGGAATATGAATTGTACGAATTAAATGTAATAAAAATGTATGTGTTAATGATTATTATCGATTAAATGTAACGATTAATTCGTATGCATATGATCATGAAGATAATTATGCATATGATCAGGAAGAATAGTTTGAATACGATTTTATTAATCCACCTTGATAATTAGTTAATTTAATGAAACAATAAATTAATAGATTATCGCATGAATCAAGTCATTATTTTCATCATTGCATTTCACGTTGTCTCGAGGTATGTATTATAAATCGTGATAATATCAATGATTTTCCCTTGAACATTTACTGATTCTCGCTTTAGCATTTATGCGTAATTATGTCAGGTCTCAGAATTCAGATCTCACCACAGGATACAATTCTCGCAATTGAGAGTTAGGAAAGGAACACACAGACCCTTTTTGATTTAAGCAACTTTAATATCAACTTACATTGACATCCAAACATACTGATCAGAGTAGAACTACAGTACCCATGCAAATATACGTACTCATCACTTTGGAAAGCATCAATGATCAAATCTCATGATTATGTGATTTAAAGAAAACAAAAGACAAACATTTCCTGGTAAAGCGGTAATACAATAATTTGTTAGTGATGATCTGTGCTATTTGTTAGATGAGATTATTCTTGGCCTGCAACGTGTACAAAGTGCAGTTACACATTCCTGCGGAGGGAGCTGGTAGGAACGTTGGGTTGCTCGGTCAATGGCCAGGGTCAACGGCGGCGTGGTGTATTCCGCAAATATGCCCGACTGTGAGGGCGGGCACAAGCCGTCGTGAGTAGGTTAAACGTTGAGTTTTATAAGGGCACCACGGGGTGACCAGCCCCTCCCCATCCAGCCCTACCCCTCCCACCCCCCACCCAGCCCCACCCTCCCCACCCAGCGCCTCACCCCAGCCCCTCCACCCCCTCCCCACCCAGCCCCTCCCCACCCTCTCCACCCAGCCCCACCCCTCCCATTTTTGGATGCACGACGGACGGACGGACACAATAATCCGCTATGGGCTGGTGTCACCAGGAGGTTCCTACCAGTAATAGTGAGTGAGTGTAAAGTGAATGTGCCATCTCTCTTTTCCCCGAAAAGTACCTCTAGTCCAACAAGGGAGTGTTGAATGGTAGGCTTGGTCCACTGCTGGAGTGTGCTTCTAGCCACGCTGCTCACTGCACGTCCGCAGCGTTGTCTGGACTTTATGCTTGATCGACCGCTGGAGTGTGCTGCTATCCTTGAATCAGCATGTTTTGCTGTCAGTTATCAGCTCTGCCACGCATTTGCAGGTTGTCTGCACACCAGGATCGATCTAGCAACTTGAGCACACTGAGGCCATGATCGAAGTCCTTGGCTCTGCAAGAGACGTAAAAAAGTAATGAAAAATATCAAAGAAAACTTGGCTACTGTCAGGGACACTTGGAGGAGTCTGACTAAGCAAGAACTCAACTCTTCTAGATTTGAAGCTTTCGTGACTGCAAGGATTCATACTCTTAGGTTTTTTCGGTAAAGTCACGTAGGTAAAAAAAAAATTTAATAAAAGTAAAATAAAAAATCACGACGTTTCGGAGGCAACACAAGCTTCCGTCTTCAGGTGGAACCGTCACAGCACGATTGCTGTATCAAGTAATACATTGCTGTATCAAGTAATACAGCAATTTTGCTGTGACGGTTCCACCTGAAGACGGAAGCTTGTGTTGCCTTCGAAACGTCGTGATTTTTTATTTTACTTTTATTGTATTTTTTACTTGCTTGACTTTATCGAAAAAACTCAACTCTTAGCGACTCAGATGGCTATCCCTGGAGTTTGCCTCTGCATGACTGACGAATATGATTTGTGTCTATTATATAGGAATTTCTACCTTATTTCGTTAATTCCCTTGGCCATGTCAGAGCCCAAAGCTCCTCCCACTGTCACGCCCTTCGAGCATTCATCAGGACAGCCTTAGTTCAACTTTTATCCTGGTTCTCTAGGCCTCTTGTGGTGTGGGAACACCTCCATTCATCTGTGAGTGTCCATGTCTTTGTTGGTCCCCTCTCCTATTGAGCCTGCTTCGCTGGGTTAGATTCCCACTTCACAATCAACACAGTGGCAATTATCTGAAATGGTACTGGTTACCCCTCTAGGTTGACTCAGCCTTAAATTTAATACCTGGTGTGGCATGTAAAGATCGACACTGGAAAGACAAAGGCGGTTGGGCATGGCTCTGGTTTATACACCCTTGAATATATATTATTTTTGGTCATGTAGAATTGACAATTAGTATATATGTTGTCCTGAATGATCCTTAGGTTCGGTACTTTAACACCGAACTTCTATAATTTCATAGTTTTCAGGCTTCAAATGCTTAACCCAGACCTTATGCTAATAATTTAGGGATAACAGTGATTGTAAATTAGAATTTACAAAAGTCGTATTTAAAACATTTGGACCTTGAGCTGCATCGTCATATAACAGTACATCCTATCATCAAAGTTAACGTTTAATACCGTGATGTTTAAGAATATTCATATGTGGTGGTTATCATTCTGAACATTTCCATTATACAAACACCAAGACTTGTATAAATAAAAAACGGCTTTGATGCTGCATGTGGCTTTCCTGACATGGGCACAGTTAAAAGCTAGTTTCCAGCGGCAATGGAAAACTGGCACAACAATTATTGATATCTCAGCTGACACTGTTTGGTGTCATGACCCACTGCTGAAGATGGCTAAAATGACCAGATGTCGTTCTACTGTATACCTAACCCATGGGATACTCAGCATTCATACTTCCAGGGTACACCTCGTTGGTAAATACAGCCGCAAGAAAATTATGAACAATGGCCTCTCAATGATTGGTAATGGTACCGTCACTATATAATCTTATATAAGTGACCTGTCATGTACATCAAATTACAAATTCATATATGCAGGTGACATAGACCTTGCTGCACAGGGCACGAAACTTGAAAACATTGCCAATACTCTTAACATGATCTTATGTTTTGATTTAAAGCATATACCTGGTGTTAGACTCCAAACAAATCCCTCCAAAACTACCACAAGTGTGTTCCACATGGATAATCATGCAGTGGTAGCCTTGTGTGCATAGACTCCACTCCAAGATATCTAGGGGTTATGGATAGAATACTGACCTTCAAGCCCTGCTGCAGAAACTTGCAGGAATGACCTTGTGCGTCTCAGCTGATGTACTGCAAACTGCAGCTCTCTCACTGGTCTACTTCGTGGTGGAGTAATTGTGCTTCTGCCTGGTCTGGAAGCTTGTACACACAACTGCTAGATGCACAATCAAATAATGCAATGAACATAATTGGAATTCTGAAGCGGACACCAATCTCAATTTCCTGTCCATAATGGCTCCATGTTCTGGCAGACATTCTGCTGCTAAATATTCGCAGAAACATGCCAACTACAAGGGAATTCACATGTTTTCTTGCCAATGACAAATAACCCATCAACCAAGAATTCAACAACGTACCATGCCGCCTACTCCAAGCCCCCCTATCCACCTACTGGCATTG